CTACTTGCATTTTATGTGGATGCCAATGCAGCTTATAGACCTGAGGTGTATCCTCCGCATTCATGGTTTTATTTTGTTAAAGAATTCACCATTAACATCTTTAATTTAGGTGACATCCGGTTTCCTCTAACTTGCCGACTTTCTTTTTTTCCACACTTTCTTTTCTCTTTTTGAACCATGAAATACATTATTAAGGCAGCATTCCACAAATTGGCACCACCACCTCTGTTTTTCATACAACCATATCTGTCTTTTCATCCCTTCCACTATTCATAGTTAAGGGAGAACATGGTACAGCTGTTAATCATCTCATTTATTTGAGAAATAATTGAGACCTAAACTATTCATCAATAGTAGGAGTTTAATGTTTAATATAGAAAAATCAGTATAAATCTGATATGTTGTTATACAGGGTATAAATCAGTACTATTTTCCTGTGAAACTGATTGTTTTGGGAATCACTATATAGACTAAACAACAAATGCTATAATTAAAATTTACTTTTCTGAGGAGATAAAGAATCATGTAGCAGATGATTGTGTGCATATGTATGTATGTATGTACATATGTATGCATATGTGTGTGTGTGTTTATGTGTATGCATATGTGTATGCATATTTATTGCCAAATAAAGCATTTTATAAAGTAATATATGAGTGAAAGCATTTTGCTGACCTCCCTGAGCAATCAGCTGGTGATCTAAAATTATTAGTTGCGGAACTGTATTTGATAATGATGGCAATTAAGCCATCCAGGTTCCACTGAGAGCATGGCCCTAGCTCAACTGAACAAAATTAAAGGATAAATGCTTGGAAGAACATTCATTTAGAGATTAGAAAACTATTTCTAATTAAGAAATTAAATGTAATAGTCATGTCTCTTAGTTGAGTTATAAAATGTAATAACAGAAAGCATTACATGAAATATCTACAGCTCTCAATCAAATCAAGATGACCCCCAAAATAGATGTGTTACTACTATTAAAAGCATTGCTTAAATGTCTACTGGTGTTTTATAAAGAACTTTTGACAATTATCTTTTGATAATGAATTATATGACATATTAAACCTTTGAACTTTATGCTCCACTCTGTAAATACTTGGCAAGCAACAACGTTTTTTTTTTAAAAAACATTTCCCATGAATGAATTAACCCTCACAAAGCAAAAACAACAACAACAACAAACCTCTTGCTGGTTCATAGCTAATGCTAATTGTTTCTTTTATAATTCCAGTGAAAAATGCAAAAATCATTATTATGTATGAGTCACTGAAAGCAAAAATAGAGAGTTACAAGATTAGCATGCAAACCCACATACTCACAAACTGAATCCACACAAATCTATGTAATATAAACAAAAGGGGTTTTTTTTTTCACAAAAAGGGGATCTATTTAGAAATAGAAATAGCATTTAGACTTACGTTCTACTCCATAGTGCTTTACAGTACTCTCTGGGCACTTAACAATATTAGCACATTGCCTCCAATAATCTGGGTCCTCATTTTACAAATGTTGGAAGAATGGAAGGCTGTGTCAATCTTGAGCTCCATGAGAATGAACTCCAGGCTATGGGCGGAGTTTGCCTGCAATACTGTATTCTAACCACTGTGTCACCAGGTCTCCTTTAATCTTATTTTTTGATATGTCACTTTCTTCTCTTCTCCCACTAACCAACTGTTGTGTCTATAGGACTGGTTGGAGTCCCCAACCAGGTCCGTCGTTCAAGCGGGAGCGCCGACCGCTCCCATTGGCTGAGCCGTCTGACAGCCGGCTATAAAAGGGAGCTGTCAGACGGCATCAGCTGTTGCCGCCAGCTGATCTGCCGAGTTAGCCAGGCAGACGCGGCAACCCTTTATTCAACTGAATAAAGCCCTTAAACGTTCGCTCTGGCTTCAGTCTCGTATCTCCGCCGTTCTACAACACTGGCGACGAAGGCGGGATACCAATAAGAGGCTACCAGACGTTCGTTGCGAAGAGCTGGTCACTACAAAAAGAGCAAAGTCACGGGCGCTGAAGCCGCCGCCGCTGGCGCTCACCAAGAGCGCGAAGTTTAAAAGCCTCCTCAAGCCGAGGAGACAGACGCCGCCTGACAGGCGCAGCCGCAAAACGCTCTTTTAAGAGCGCGGTTTTTCGAAGTCACAGCCGCTGAGGTGACAAGCCTGCCGCCTCAAGATGAATACCAACCCGACATTCCCACCCTTCAAGCCAGCCGAGGAAACGTGGGAGTCATACAGAAACCGATTCATCTACTTCCTTGACGCTATCGGTCTAACAGATGCTGCTGAGCTCAGGAAAAAAGCCTTCTTCCTTAGTTACTGTGGGGCTGCGGTTTTTGACACCGCTACAGCACTAGTTGCCCCTCGCTCTGTCAGGAATCTCCCTTGGGAAGAACTCCAAGAGATTCTTACCAATCACTACTCACCTAAGCCCTCCCAGATAGCTAGAAGACATGCCTTCAGAACTAGGAAGCAGGCTGAGGGGGAGTCAATTAGTGAGTATATGGCAGCTCTGAGATCAGCTGCCTTACAGTGTGGATTCAGAGACTATCTAGAAGACATGCTTTTAGATCAGATTGTCTGTGGAGTTAGGGACCTCAGGCTTCAAAGACGCTTACTAGCCAAAAAGGACTTAACGTTAGCTTTAGCTATAGAGGAAGCTCAAGTTGCTGAGCTCTCTGCCCAATCAGCAGCAGAAATACAAGGGGCTCCTATTAGACCCAGCAGCTCCACTATTCACTCTGAAGAAGTCTCCCTTGAAGAAGATCCCATAGGCACTACAGACATAAACCACCTCAGGCAACTAAAACCTTCACAAGAAGGAGTAGGGCAAAGAACAACTTCACCCCCAAACAGCCTCCCTTTTGCCCAGGCTGTGGAGGTTCCCACACTAGAGCATCCTGCAGGTTCAGGAATGCAATTTGTTTAAACTGTCAAAAAAAAGGCCACCTAGCTAGGGTCTGCCTAGCAGGGCGAACCTTCCCTCAGAAACCTCAACCTACTGCTAATTTTCAAAGGCAAGTGGAGGACTGTTATACTTGCTACCACGCAGACCACATTTCCAGAACCCCTAATAAAATAAGTATTTTTGTTTTCCTAGAAGGTAAGCCTTGCAGGATGGAGGTGGACACAGGATCTGCACTTTCAATCATCTCCTGGGAGACCCTGAAGAAGATCCACCCAAGGCTGTCAAAAAAGAAGCTACAGAAGTGCCACCTGTCCCTGCGAGACTACCAGGGCAAGAACATTCCTGTCCTCGGGAAAGGCAAGTTTTTAGTTCAGTTCCAAGGTTTTAAAGGCCATTTGCCTTTGGTGGTTGTTAATGGTGCCCTCCCAAGTCTGCTGGGACTAGATTGGTTCCCCTACCTCGGCCTTAGCATAACTGGGATCCATGCTGTCTCAACCTCAGATGTAGACACCCTATTCAAAGACTATCCTGATGTTTTTAGCAGCGAGTTGGGCTGTTATTCTGGCACCCCCATCTCCTTCACTGTAGACCCCCAGGCAATTCCCCTTCGCCTCAAGCCACGCAGAGTACCCTTTGCCATCTGCCCAAAGCTAGATCTGGAATTAGATAAGCTACTTAAGCAAGGGGTCTTAGAGCCAACTGATTTTGCAAAATGGGAGACCCCCATAGTCACCCCACTCAAGAAAGATGGCAGCGTGAGAATCTGCGCTGACTACAAGACCACCCTCAATCGTTATCTGCAGGTCAGCACATACCCTGTCCCTGTGATCCAACACTTATTACACTCTTTCAAACCCGGCACCATCTTTGCAAAATTAGACATGTCCCAGGCATACCAGCAGTTCCCTGTTGATGATCAGACAGCTGAGCTTCAAACCATAGTCACTCATAGGGGGGCGTTTAAATGCAAACGCCTCCAATTTGGTGTTAGTGTAGCCCCAGGTATTTTCCAGTCCCTCATGGAAAGGATTCTCCAAGGTCTCCCAGGGGTTGTCCCTTACTTCAATGACATTTTAGTTTCAGCCCTTAACAGGACTCAGCTCATACAAAGGGTCAGAGCAGTCCTAGACAGGTTTAGGCAGCATGGCCTCAAACTCAAACGTGAGAAGTGCACCATCGCCACTAAGCAAGTGGACTTTCTGGGGTATAGGATTGATGCCTCTGGCATTCACCCAATCGAATCCAAGGTCAGGGCTATCCACGGAGGCACCCACACCAACCAACAAGATGGAGCTCCAAGCCTTCCTGGGGCTATTGAACTTTTACGCTTTATTTCTTCCTCATAAAGCATCCATTGCAGAGCCCTTACACAGACTGTTAGACAAAGAATTCCCTTGGCATTGGGGACCAAGGGAAGCCAAGCTTTCAAGTCAGTCAAATCCTTACTTACATCTGATGCAGTTTTAATCCAATTTAATCAACAACTTCCCCTGGTCCTGGCAGCTGATGCATCCCCTTTTGGTATTGGGGCAGTCCTAAGCCACAGGCTCCCAAATGGTTCTGAGGCACCAATTGCCTTCTTCTCTAGGACTTTCTCTGCTGCAGAAAGAAACTACAGCCAAATAGATAAGGAGGCCTTGGCTGCAGTAGCTGCAGTAAAAAAGTTTCACGAATTCCTATTTGGGCACCATTTTGAACTCATAACTGACCATAAACCACTTCTGGGGCTTTTGTCAGGGGACAAACAAACCCCACAGGTACTATCACCTAGGATGACCAGGTGGACCTTGTTCCTAGCCGCTTACTCGTTTAAATTGGTGCATCGCCCTGGAAAAAACTTAAGTCATGCTGATGCCCTTAGTCGCTGCCCCCTACCTGTTCCAGTCGAAGACCCAGCACCTATCCATTCCATTTTTGAGATAAATGAACTTAAACTGCCTGTTACAGCTGAAGACATTGCAACGCACTCAAAAAAAGACAGGGTAATTGCCCAGGTTCTGGACTGGGTGGGAAGGGGGTGGCTGGAAACACAATACACTCCTGACTTCACTCCTTACAAGATACGCAAGCAAGAATTGTCAAACCTACAGGGTTGTCTGTTGTGGGGGACAAGGGTGGTCATCCCAGCCACTCTCCGTGTTCCCATTCTAAAGGCCCTTCATGAGGGCCATCCGGGCATCGTAAGGATGAAGGCCCTGGCCCGCAGCTACGTTTGGTGGCCAGGCATGGATGCCCAAATCTCCACCTGGGTAAGCTCGTGCCAACCTTGCCAAGCAGCCAGACCCGCCCCACCAGCAGCTACTCCTACTAGGTGGGAAAGTGCTGGGGGACCTAGGTCTCACCTGCACATTGACCTGGCTGGGCCAGTACATGGAAGGACCTTCTTGGTTGTAGTAGACTCATATTCCAAATGGATAGACTTGGCCCTACTACCTTCAACAACCACTCAAGCAATTGTTAAGGCCCTGACTCGTCTGTTTGTTACCCATGGGCTCCCTGACACGCTGGTGTCTGACAATGGCCCCCAGTTCACATCTTGTGAGTTTAGCATGTTCATTGCCAACTTGGGTATCAGACACATCCTCACAGCCCCTTTTCACCCAGCTAGCAACGGGATGGCGGAGAGGGCAGTCAGGTCAGTAAAAGAGGCACTTGCTAGGTTTGGCCAGGAAAACTGGCACTCCAAACTGTCACGATACCTTCTTAGCCAACACACAACCCCATGCACCACCACAAATAAATCTCCTGCAGAACTTTTAATGGGGAGACGCCTCAGGACCACCCTGGACAGGCTGCACCCCCATTACTGCCCGGATACCCCTATTGGATCTGACAGCTTGGTCGGGGATTTCGCCCTGCATGACCTGGTCTATGCCAGGAATTATGCAGGGGACCCTCTGTGGGTACCTGGGCAGGTTGTGTCAATTGCAGGGCCAAGATCTTACAGAGTCCTCTTGGAAGATGGACGCCTGTGGCGCAGACATGTGGATCAGCTAAGGAGGCGATGGAGAGGTGCAGCTGAGGGGTTCCTTAACCAACCAAGCGACCCGGTCTACCCAGCCCAGCCATCGAGCACCAAAGGCTCCCTGCAGGACCCGATCTACCACGCCGACGACGAGACCCCCCTGCAAGGCCCAGCCTACCCAGCCGAGAGTTCCCTGCAGGGCCCGACTCGCCTCACCGACAACGAAAGCTTCCAGCAGGCCCCGGTCTACCGCCCCGACCAAACGACGTGCCAAAGACAGACCGAGCAGGAAGGCTTACCCGACCTACAGATGGACCACGCTGACCGAGCACGCTCGCCAATGACCTCTGAAACGCTCCCGGGGACTGAGGACTTTGTTCCAGCCAGCAACCTGCCTGAGCTGCGACGGTCCAGCCGCCATCGCAGGCAACCAACATACTTGCGGGACTACGCATGCTCCTGGCCAGGGGAAAGGAGTGTTGTGTCTATAGGACTGGTTGGAGTCCCCAACCAGGTCCGTCGTTCAAGCGGGAGCGCCGACCGCTCCCATTGGCTGAGCTGTCTGACAGCCGGCTATAAAAGGGAGCTGTCAGACGGCATCAGCTGTTGCCGCCAGCTGATCTGCCGAGTTAGCCAGGCAGACGCGGCAACCCTTTATTCAACTGAATAAAGCCCTTAAATGTTCGCTCTGGCTTCAGTCTCGTATCTCCGCCGTTCTACAACACCAACTTTAAGCAAAATATCAGCACTGCAAGAAAAGTCAAAGAGGACAAGATGGCAGTCATATCAAGGCAACTGAAGCCTTATTCCATTGTACATGCTTGTCAATCACACTACCCCAACTGCCATTTTGACATCCTCCTTCTCACTCACAGCCACATCCTAAACACTAATACAAACAGGTATACAGCTGCTATGCTGACTGACACCTGTCAGCTATTCCCACTAATATGAGGCTCTTCCTAATTCAGTTATCTAGCAACAAGCTCTTATTTCTAGGGCTTCAGTCATAGCATACTTATAACTAACACATAGCTAATTAGCATGTAGCCTGGCACATCTTTCTTCTTGTTAGCAACTTCCAAAATCTACTCCTTGTTGTGGATCTCTGGATTAGTTATGGAAATATATCCTAAGTATGAAATATATCCTGTTGTTGATACATTTATTTGAAGTGTTTCTTGTATGCTGGTTACATACAAGATTTAACTGAGTTAGCTGAGTTAATTGTATGATATAATATTAAAATTGATGGAAATGAAAGTTTTAGATCATAAACTGAAACTTATATTTATAAACAAAACTATTGTGAAAATTTTATCAAATTGGTTTTGTCTCTTCTTTGATCCTTTGTTAGATGGTGACTAATCTAAATATTGAGCAACAATACAAATCAGTAAATCACTGCTGTCAGTATTAATAGTATTCTATAATATAATATAGAATACTTATACTTCATCTGAATAAATCTCATAATTCTTAATGTTTTAACGGATTCCAAGTAATTGCTCTGATCAATCTATAATTGTTATAATTATGTGAACTTCAGACCCAAATATGGCTATAAAATAACAAGCCCATATCAATTACTAAACTGCATCTCCAACAGCAGGAAGATTTCAACTTGGAAGCTAATTTCATAGTTTTTTTTTTCAAATCCTCCCTGGATTTACAAGAATAAATGTGTTATTTCAAAGGTTACCTAAGTACTGTAATTAATATCAATGTCATTAATCTTTTTCAGCTTCCTATTAACATAGTCAACTAGTATAGGAGTGCCAATTGATTCTTTCCATATCTCTACCAGATATGAAACTGCAAAAGCCTAACTAGCATTAGGAACAAGTAGTCCTAATAAAAAATATTTAAGCTGAATAAACTACCAAGAAGCACTTTGAAGTAAATCCAACCATGAATTGGCAGGCTGTTCCACAGGAGGTGAATCTCACAGAAAATGCATACCTATATGTAGCTTCATATCATGCTTCTTAAAAGGCATTGATGGGCCTTAAGCATTATAAAGCTTTATAAATAAAATAACATTTTGGATTGCATTTAGAATCCCATAGGTAGCAAATGAATCTCTATATAAATGATATGTGTTACTATGTGTTAGTATTGAGAGTGCCCAGTATATGTACAAGCCCACCAACTTAAGTTTCTGGGACATGTAATTTTTAAAGGGGAACCCCACATGAAATAAATTACAGTAGTCCAAACAAGAAGTGACAAGGTCATGACTGACCATTTTAATTTCATTTCATTCTATGTAAGGTTACTGTTGTCATACCAATCATGGGCAAAAATGTTTTTAGCCATCCCTTCCATCAGTTTTCCAGAAGGAACTGAATTCAGGAAGACCTTCAGATTGCAGGCTCAGTCTTTCAGGAGGATAAACCCCATGTAGAATCAATATTAATACTGGTCTAGAATTAGTAGGGTTCTCTATTGAAAGCTATTCCACCTTAGACTGTTTCTCCCCATCTAGACCCTCAAAAAGAGGGGCTTCTATACCATTTGTCCCAAGATAGAAATAAATAGTTCAGTGTCATCAATATGTTGATGATGGCTTACTTGAGCCAGATTATCTTTTGCAATGGCTCCATGTGGATAGATATTACATGGGAAAGGGAAGAAAGCTGGCTGGCAGGGCATCTCATATTGAAGCACTTAGAATTTAAACTTTCTCCCCTACAACTGACTCTCCCTGCATATCCAGGAAATCCAGAGGTTTCATGGTCAACCACATCAATAGCTAGGATCCAAGGGCTTCAAGAGGCCTGGAATAGCCTTTTCCAGAAGGAAGTGTTGATTGGCAATAAATTTCCAAGCTCTGTTCTGCTCTGAAGGCATTTCTGTTAGGTTTTACAATTTATTAGCTCTGAAAGAAGGACGTGTGAGAATGCCGCCTGTGCTTCATCTTATATTGCAGACAGGTTGGTTTAGATAAAGACAGTCCTTTGTGTAATTTGAACCCAAATAATTTAGTCAAGAATGAGTATGCTGCAGGCCATACACCACTACAGTGCCCCAGATTCAATTTTAATATTCCCAAACTGTGAGCAATTAGGTTTCCAGAATTCATCAGCAAGCTGCTAAAGAACAGAACTACAATTTAATATAAATGTTAATTTTGGCGGGTGGGGGAGAAACATGTTTATAAGCCATTACATTGGCTTGTTGTAGCCAAAATTGTTTTTAAAATCCTCCCATGTACTTCCACATATCTTCCTTGATTAAAAACAAAACAAAACAAAACAAAAAAGCTATATCCACATGAGATTAGGTGGCCTTGTCTCACCTACTGAAGTATCTATGGCAAAAAGGAGAAAACAAAAGAAAAGACAACTTCTAGTTGCCCAAAATCTGCCTGCCCCTGATTTAAGGTTAAAAAAATAGGGCGTGTGAAAGCCAAATCCTTTGAAAGAATATGCATTCCAGGTGATTTTCATCTTTAAACAATTACGATGCAGCAGAACTATTTGAGGATATCCAGATATTATCTCTTTGAATCCCTGCATTATTTAGCAAACCTGTCACAGCCAACCTCTCTGCTAAGCTAATCACTGGCATCTCTCATAAAAAGTTAAAAGGGGTGGTGAAGACATATGCCTGAGATTATGGAAGCTGCTACTCCTCCTAGGAGAGGGAAACATTAGGTTAATTGGACTAATAATGTGATTCTCTATAAGGCAGCTTCATCTATCCTTCCCCCTCATAAGTGCTTGTTGCCTTGCTTCACTGCTGAGGTTATCACTTTAGTGCCATCTGTCCCTAGAAGCGGATAACCCTCTGCTTTTAACCATTGCCTTGAAAATAAGGTTCTCTTTTCTACAATTTCATATTTATAAGAGAATGAATCAGTATGTGTATATGTCTTCTCTGTCACACCTGCCCTATGGAACAGCATTCCCCCCCATAAAAAAAATTGGTCCTGATTTAGGCTTCATCTTCCAGAAAGCCTCAAAGACATGGGATCAGATTATGTTTCTTTTTACAAGGAGATAGCCTTTTTTTTAAACAAGCATCTTAGCTCCTCTTGATGGGAAAATTATTCTAGCCTGATGCACACAAAACTGAATATTTAATAAATTTAAACAAGGGGGTTTTATTTATGGAGGCTGCATATTTTGCTCCAGTGATGCAAAAAATAATTTATTTTTTACAAGATTAACCTTTTATTGATATTTAATTGCTATATTGATAATGCTATATAAGTTTGACTTGAGTTCAGTGATTTCTGCTATATTTTAATAATGGTCAGTCATTATTTTACTTTAACTCTGGTATTTTGTTATGACTTGAAATGAATACAATAAATGAATTTAATTGAAGAAGCACCTTAGCTTATAGCATCACACAATTCCTTAGAGCACACGCGACAAACTTGATTGCATCACATGATGCACTGTGACATATCACGACTTGTTTGCCTTTGCAGGGCTGGGCTAGGCATGGCCTGTTTGTGATGCATCTGGCCTGTGTGCCACCTGTTTGACAGGCCTGCACTTAGAGAAAAAAAGAGAAATAAAAGTGTAAAGAAGCTACTTACATTATTACTGGGTGCAAAAATATAGAAGTTTCTAGATGTTACTACAAAGGATTATCTCCCATTTTTAATTTAAAATGCCACATATATTGCCAACTAGTGCCCATCAAAGCAAATGCTCAAGAATTACTTATCTTTTAGAGATGTATATAGTCTCTCCCACTGACAGCAAATTTAACTCCATCATTCATCCATCCATAACTATCAACTTAAGAGAAAGCAAAAGGTCAATTCAAAATCACAGTTTAAGACTTTATGTTCACTGGATAAAGAGAACAGAACTTACAGAAGCCCCATATAAGTTCCAGAATTTTGTTCTTTTCAGAAAGAAGCCATTTGGTGAGGTAAATGTAGAGGCTTCATATTTATAAGAGAATGAATCAGTATGTGTATATGTCTTCTCTGTCACACCTGCCCTATGGAACAGCATTCCCCCCCATAAAAAATATTGGTCCTGATTTAGGCTTCATCTTCCAGAAACCCTCAAAGACATGGGATCAGATTATGTTTCTTTTTACAAGGAGATAGCCTTTTAGGGGTCTTGGCTAAATATGGGGGTTTTATGTTATTTAATGTTTTTAAAGTTTTTTTGTATAGTGAGACACCTAGAGTCAGCAGGTTGAGAGGAGCAGCTGTACAAGATCAATAATTAAGTAAGGAAATAAATACCAAATCTAGTTTTCAAGTAAACAATCTTGGTAGTGGCAGTGAAAGAATGGGAAATTCATTTTCAGATGTTTCTCGGGTGAGCAGAGCATGAAGCATAAAACACAAAGTGTAGTTCAATATCCACAGTGCACAATTTGTGTGTAATTCCACTAACCTTTCAGCACTATCTACAACTGATATGTAAGAGTGATGTACAATATCCAGAACCCTAACTAGATCCAAATGGTAGGTAACCCCTTCTATCACTCTTCTGCTAAAAAGAGTTAGAGGAAAATCAGCAAGAATAAACATTCCTCTCTTAGATTTAATGCTCCAGGTATTTGTACTGAGGACAAAGTGAATATCTAAACTCTGGCGGTGTGCAAATCTTTTTCTGATCTTCAGCATTTAAAAGATATCAATAATTTAAAGTGGCTTTGTTAAGTAATCTTCAGTGCTGTCTTCTTTTAAAGGAAAGGTTTATTGCTTGCACAGTCTTTTATAAATCCTAAGTCAGCAAGAGAAATTACTGTGGTTTCAGGCAGCAACAAAGCATTCCTGACCTTCAAACTGAAATAAGCATTCCGTATATAGAAAAGGATATAATTCTGCCTATTCTCACCTTCATCATCTTCCTTTATCTCTTTGAATACTAGATCTTAATGGCAATAATGTCACCTGCTGGGCCACCATTTGTGACACAAGTAACTTTATACAATGCCTTCATAAGAGCAATTACTTAATTGCTTAGTTGCTTGACTGAAAATTTTCACAAAGATAATTTTATCATTCCAAGATATCAGAAATACACAGTTGTCTGGCAATATTTTTTTTTTCTTGACTTACACATTTCACTTACTCAAACTCTCTTGTTCTGGAAGAAAAAATATCTAGACAAATCTTCAGCACTATTTTCAAAGGTGCTTTTTAAAAAGGCAACTGGACTTTGTTTTTCCTTAAAGATGTTTTATTTCTCATCCAAGAAGCTTCTTCAGTTCTGAACTGAACCGAAGAAGCTTTTTGGATGAGAAGTTGCCTTTTGAAAAAGCACCTTTGGGACAACCATGACCTGTGACTGAGAATCTCCATAGACCTTCAGCACTATTGCAGGTGCAAACCAGTAGATTCATAACTGTTTGTGGCAACAGTATAAGAAATAGGGAAACTTTAGCGTTATTTGGGTTCTCTAGAATCCATTGTGTGTCCTCATAACAATGTCTAGAAATTTCAGTGCTTTCTTTGTCCCAGTGTCTTCCCTGTGTGTTAGCATTCCCCTGAGATTCATATACTTATGAATGAGTTCCTGAGGAAAGATAAAGAGAGAATGAAAGGAAATGAAAGGTCTTTTTAGGACATTACTTAAAAGGTATAAAGATCAAGACTTTCAAAGGAACAAGAATGTTTATAAAGTTGTCTTACTTGATCAAGATTAAAAGGTATATGGTTTTTTTTCTAGCAGGTTTTAATCTTTTCTTTAACTAGGACTGAATGGTATGACTTCGAAGATTTGTTTATAGATCAGTTATAGGGAAATGATTTTTTGTTGTATTTTTAGAGAAAGTGATAAGCTAAAAGAGGAGGAAAGTGTTAAACTTATGAAGGAGTTTCTGAGAAGAGATGAATGTTCTAATTTGTAAGACATTATTGAAGGGATTAAAGATTTAATTTTTCAATATGTTTCTTCTGGTAGTTCTTCATGGACTTTTGCTGATTATGATTGAATAATGAGGCTTTATTATTTGCTAATAGATAAAGCATGAGATATGGGATTAAGAGATTTTTAGTAAAAATGTTAGAGAAGGTGATAAATTACTGAAACTGACTGAACTATTTGAACTATTGTCTATGAGAATAGATAGCTGGATGATAGACAGACAGACAGACAGACAGACAGATCGGTCTGTTGTGTGAATGCTTGTGTGTTTTTAGGAGGTGAGGAATTTTGGGGGGTGGGGAGGTGTTTGGGGATTGTCATGTGTGTGTGCATGTCTGGTCTCTGGGTGTTTTGTGAATTTCATTGTATATATACAGTGTATATATGTACAATGACAATAAAGAATTCAATTCAATTCAATAAGATAGATAGATGATAGATACTGTATGGATATGTATGTGTTTATAAATATATATCTGTGTATGTATGTGTGTATGTATGTATGTATATATGTATGTATGTATGCACACACATACACATATACGGTACGTACACACACACACACATCCTTTTTTCCTCTTTGCCCTTCTTTACTTTTTATATTTTACTTAGTTTTATTAGGTTTTTTATCATTATCCTTTTATATTCTTATCTTTATCTTTTAAATCTTTGTATGCAGGGGTGGGATTCTACAGGTTCACACCTATTTGCTAGAACCGGTTGTTAACATTCTAAGCAGTTCAGAGAACCGGTTGTTAGAAGAAATTACTGGCCTAATCCTGTAAGGAAGGCAGGAAGGAAACATTCCGGTGTTGCTTACAGAAACTGCCTCTCCGTTAACCCTTATTACATTCCTGACAGGACTAGACTTCCTTTCTCAGGAGTTTTTTCCCCCTCCTTTGCTGGTACTTTGCTTGTGTGGAGTGACCATTCAAAGTTACAATGGCACTGAAAAAAGTGACTTATGACCATTTTTCATACTTACAACTGTTGTAGCATCCCCACAGTCATGAGAGCCCAGGCGAGGAGATGTGTGCCTCAATGTGAGTGATATTGAGTTGGCCACGCCCAGCCAATAACATGACCACCAAGCCATGTCCACCCAGTCACATGACCACCAAGCCACACCCACCAATTAAGCCACACCCACAGAACCGGTTGTTAAAAAAATTGAATCCCACCCCTGTTTGTATGTTTAAACTTCAATTCTATACACACACATACACAATCATTAACTTATTCAGTCTAGATATCTTTAGTATTTATGATTAGAATGTGACAATGAGACAGCATGGTTTAGTGACTAAGATCCAATTCCAGCCTTAGACCAAAAGAAAAATATCTGCATTCCTAAATCCTCAGTGCATTTATTCAGTCTGTCTTGCTTGTTTTTATCTGCCCACCTGAAGTATTGGTGAATAAACTTAGAAATGGATTAAATGAATAAATTCCGGAATGTTTCTTTATCCTAAGCAAGGATATAGCTTTATTTCAATAGACATACGTAAATATATTTTGAGAGACTGCCAAAAAGTTGTTGTTGTTTTTTTTTAGCATTATGGCTTTGGGGGCTTAAGAAAGTCCTATAGGCCATTTTCTTTCTTTAAAGAAAAGTCAGAATCTTACCCATAATTCTATACAGTGCACACACGTGCACATATGTGCGAATGTACACACACAATGTCTTATCGCAATATTTGTAAATGGTAGAAAAGAGACAAATCAATGCAGAATTTTTTACACACAGTCCCATGTTTGGCTTGCGGTCAATCATTCACACACGTACAGTCTTGATCAAAAACATTCAAAAAGAACACAATTAATATTGTTTCAACTTAGAAGTCGCTTCAGACTTTGTACTTCAGGTGGAAAAAGATGAAACTTTGATTTTGGGTTTGATGTTATAGAAATGGCTACTATATATTGTTACATAAAAGTAAAAAGTTGAGGCTTTATGCTGTTATCTTATTCAATTGAACCAAAAGGAGTTGGAAATAAAAAAAATATTTCTATTTCTCCTCTACTGTACACTTTTCTCTCTTCCCTTTTCCTCTCCTATTTCACCTTTCTCTCTCTCTTTTTTATATTTTATGCTTTGTTAAAATTAATAAAAATTTGAACTGAAAAAAATCCACACTCAAATCACTTTCAGCCAAAACTCTCAACTGTGTGTGTGTGTATGTGTGTGTGTGTGTGTGTGTGTCTGTATCTGGTTCAAGTTACTTTTTTTTCTTGGTTTCCTAAACTACATGCATGCTTGTAGGCCTATGTGTTCAGCACAGGACACGAATAATTCCTTAACTACTTGGCCCCTTGTTAACTACTCAAATGTTCCTTAAGACAAGATTCCTGGCTTTTTAAATGGCAGCTTCAGCCTAGTCTCACCCACATTATATATTCTTTGAAGATTTGCAAGGTATCAGATGCAGAATAATGGATATAACTAATTTGCTGCTCCAGAGATTAAGAATAATAGTTCTTTAATATCACCATTTATTTTGGAATAAGCAAAAACAACGGAAAAGAAAGAAGAAGATGATCTGTTTTTTTTAGTGGTGGTCCTAAGCTTTTGCCATTTCAATTTTTATGGGGTTGGAAAAACAAAAACAACTCACCCAGTTTGATGAGACTTTCTAATACTCACAACCTTCTATTCATTATAAAGCAAATTTTTAGACCTAACTTTTTGCATTGGCCTGCCACTCATTGCAAGAAAAGTCAGCTATTGAGAACTTCCTTGCTGCTTTAACATTTCCTTAAGCGGAGTGAGTACATTATTTTGTACATTATTTTGTCTTCTGAAAATTAGCCATCATTTTAAAGTTGCATATTTGAATGGGAAACTATTTTCTTAGAGTGAAGAAAAGGCAAGGATCTGAATTTCTAGAGATTTAAATCTTGTTACAATGCAGCCACCTTGGATACAAAATCCAGAATCTCTTTTTCAGGGTTAATTTACAGCAACACAGAAGAGTAAAATAAATACATGACTGATGCAGAAAATAACTTCCATTCCTTTCTTTTGGATGATGTGCAACAAAAATAAATGGGAAAAAATAACTGCACAACATTAAAAAAAACAATCCAATATATAATATGGAAATCAAACAAGATAATCAAACATGAACCCCAAAAGGACGGTTTATTCAAAGCCTGTATACATTGTGCCTCCATACACAAGTGCACATTTCATTTCATTATCCCAATATGGCACAGTGATGACATGATTGTTCTCTTCGGTTCTAGTTTAATAGTCTAATATCCCCATGTGATGACACAAAGTATATCAGAAATATAACAAACCCAGAATGTAACTAAAAGTCCTTTAATGCCTTCAACTTGGCTTCACTGTTTAATTGTTCACAGTGGAGGAGTAAATTATTTTCAAAATAATATTTCAAAGGAAAGAAACACAGTTCAAATTCAAGAGCCAATAACGAAGCAAAAACCAAAAACAAACCATACTGAATAAAGTTTCATGACAGACCAGGATAGATAATTGCCAGCTTCAGGAAGATAACCAGGTACAGTCCATTAGAAGAACGCCAACCAAGATAAACCTTCTTTAGGAATAAAACTCTCATTTGTCTCCAGAGTCTGTTAGCACGCAGGTCCTACCTTTTATGCAGATCCCACACCTGCAACCCATCAAGAGGATCATGGCCCTCTCCTCCCGAGTAGACCACATTTTACCCTGATCCTCTCCTTCCTGTGTGCCATAGGATGGATAGGGGATGGGCCTGGGTCCTCCTGTGACTGCTTAGCCGGCCTCTGCCCTTCCCCAGCCTCCTCCACTACCTCTGGAGCCACACTTCCACTCCCTGTTGGCTGTTCCTCCTCTTCCTCAGAGTCAGTCTCCACCAGGGGCATGATACCCCAGTAGCCTTTCTGGATGGTTGCCATTTTAAATTACACAGCTTTACCATACTTTCATTTGTAGGCTTTTTACAAAGTGACGTGTCTGTTTTTCTCCCCATCTGTTTCCTGCACAAAGTCATTTTTCAATCTCAACTTTGACTAATACAGACCTAAAGCAGATAACAGGTAGGCTAGCTGCTGGTATTAATCTGTACTTCACTTAAGGAACGGACAGGACAGGGTACACTCGGAAAATAGTAGCATGGTCTTAGAAGCACTTAACTCACCCTTCCTTGGTGCTGGAATGTAGCAGGTAGCATTTTCAAGACTGGTTCTATAATATGCAATTTACCTATTCACTTATTGCAATAAATGAAAAGCAAAAGGAATTGGAGCAAAAAATGGAGAGAGGGAGAACTAAATAAGAAAACCTATACTATTATAGAATATTGAGAGGAGAGACAGAGACAGAGACACACACAGAGAGAGAAATGTGCATAACTTCTGCTCTATCATGTAATTTGGGAATTTATCAAAAAATCAACATGGGGGAAGGGAACTGTATTATATCATCTGATCTCTAGAGTTCTTACACAGGTTGAGTTATATTGGATTAGTCACAGTCAAGGCATTTAAATCCATGATTATTGCGTTGATTTAGTTAAATGTTTTAACCTGCTTTTCAAACCAAGGTTTCAAAGTAACTAATGGAATGATATAAACCAATCTAAAACAGGTTATAAACAAATATATTCATAGGACAGTTAGAAGTAGCAATAATACAGAGGCAAAACAGAAGAATGTCAATTATATATGCAAAAAAAAAAAACCCATTGAAAGTCTGGAGTCATGAAGATGTTTTATCTGGCTTACGGAAGATAATGAAAATGGGTGAATATCCAGAATCCTTGTAAAACCATTCTACAATTGAGATTACCAGGTTTGAGAAGTCATAGTCTCTAGTCATCACCTATCTCACTTCTGAAGCTAGTAACATACCACTCAAAGTCATGGTACACTGATCATCTTATTAAAGCTTTTTTTTTAGCAGCAATCTTTCAGAATGAGAGGCTCATAACCAGGGGTGGGATTCTACTGGTTCAGACCGGTTTAGGCAAACCATATATTAAATTTGCATCTAGTTCGCTGAACCAGCATTTGAACTGGCTGGCCCTGCCACTTCTCCTCACCTCCCAGGAGTCTCCATGTGGCC